TAAGAAAGCAAACCCTAAAATCTAGAGAGAGAAAAATATATATATATATATTCCTTTTTCTTTTTCCAAAAGTCTCTCCTAAAATATACATGAACCCATGTATATATAGGCACTATAAAAATAAGAATACGAAACAATAAATCATTCTCTATCTCTAATTCACATATCTCAAATCTAATAGGATTCCATTATCAAGTTGGGCTATGAGTGAAAAATCCTATTGGGCTTATTATTTTCTTGGCTACAATGAATTAATAATCGGCCCGGTCCATAGACCCAATTAAATTAATTCATTAATTAATTTCTACACCACTAAAAGAAATTAATTGAACTCCAAGTAAATAATAAATAACCTCTAAGTCAATGTTACACTTTGACCTCTTTATGCATAATTAGTTATCGGATAAATAAAACCATCAATCCGACTACTTAATTAATATATTTATTTTGGTACCTTTGATTATTTCCGACTTGAACACAATAAAACATTTGTTTGACAAAAATAATAATTTAAATAAATAAATATATAATAAATCATTTTGTCTAAAAACGCACGAAGGTCTTCGAATTTACTTTGTGATCAACCATAATCAATACAAAATAAATATAAGTAGCAATGATGCAAATATTGAAAATATAACCCTCTAACTATTAATTACATAATTACCCAAAGTGTCGGTCTAAGGATTCTGAAGATTCCACCGAACAAATCAAAGTAATTACTAATTAATAAAAAAGTCTATACTTCTCTCATGCTTAGGAGTCAAAAACTATGACAGTGATAGGGAGCAATTGCATACAATGGCTCTCGCAATATATCTCAACCTAACGCGAATCCAGTTCAAGTCTTAATTAATTATGAGTCCTTCCATAATTACCGACTATGAACAATTTATGATTACTATTTATATTCATGTATTGATTGTTATCACATACATATATAAATATCTCTTATAATCAAGTGGACACTATCAATTTCATAATAAATCGAAACATAATACATTTAATTCACCAATTATATAATTCATAAATATTTCAGATATGTCAGGAACATATGTTACTATAATCCAAATAGAAATTTGCTATGCCAGGGCATATAAATCCCATCAGATACAACATTTGGTAAGTACACAATTTGCACATTCCATGGTATATTAAAAATTAATTTGACATCTTTTTTGACCCACAAATATCGGTATTAAACTCGATAGGATTCATGACCTTAGATAAAATGGATATAATTTATGTAACCAACCTCAAATAGTTGAAAAATAAAAATAAAAATAAAAATAAAAATAAAATTGATTAGTGGTTGTGTCTTGATGTTCGATGTTAAAACATGACTATTATTATACTCAAAATAGTAACTATTGTGAGTTCACATTGTTACCACAAATGCAGCGAACCCAAGTAATAATAAAAAACATGACAGAAAAGTAAACACACCATACAAAGAATACAAATTTTTATATGTGGTTCGGCAAAGCCTACGTCTATAGTGGAGATTCGATAAAAGTGTCACTATGTATAAAATCGGAGATTACAAATTTCAGCTCCTCACTCTCTTTCTTTTCTGTTCGATTTTCAATGTCTCTCCATAATACACTCCAAACCCTAAGCGCCTTTATATATTGGGTTATAGAAAAGTACTAGTTAGGATTCACAGCCCACAAGCAAAGGGTCAAAAATTTTCCAATGCTTGAGCCTACACAAAACTCATCCAAAGAGTCATCGGGTCGTGCCAAATTTAGGCCACAATATCACACACATCATTGTTCTTTCTTGCTAATTATTTGTTCCTTCTGTTTTTTTGGCCTATTTCTGTCTAAGATATGCATTCATTGGTCAATATTATCTGTTGTTGCTCTATATTTGGAACACCAGATGAGAAACAATAAAATGTTATCCACCCTCTTCAACCAAGCATCTTGTTTTTATTTGTTTATTTTCATTTAATGGGGTTGTTAAGGAGCATCTAATCAGCAAAACCTTTTTCTAAATTCAACACCCACTTACTTGAGGACTCTTTGAAGACACTTTGTCAAAGATAGATTTTCACTGAGAAGGAGATTGGTCTAATATTGTTGTTTATGTTAAACTACCTTTCCCATGTAGAGAGATAACAAGATTGATGGCTTTCTATCACCTTTAACCTTGCTTTTGCAAGAGAGAGCTTAGCTTTACTCATTTGAAATACTTATTGAGTTTTTTATTTTATTTTTTCCTTTTAAGCTCATGATTTCATGGTGGACTTGGTGTTGGGATCACATGTGACATGTCCATCAACAACTTTTGTATAATGGTATAATTGGTTCATGTGTTTTGTCACACGATGCTAATGTAGAGATGCTAGTTATTATCACATCTTTACATAAAATTAAGCTACAAGCCATACGAGTTTATGTGAATGTTAACAAATCTTAATCAGAATCTCTAACAATTTGAATAATTTAGCTGCATTGCTGTTATCATCATTATCATAATGTTAGGAGGCTGAGCATTATGCTTCAGAACTTCAAGAAAGATTGTTTAAAGTCCATTTGGAATTGCCTTTTTTATTGTTTAAAAGCGTTTTTTTTTTTTTTAAATTACGTTTAGAAGTATTTGGTAACCATTATATGCGTTTTTAATAGTTATCAAAAGATTTAGTCCATAGAGTTTTTGAATAAAGTTAGAATTTGGAGCTTTCAAAATCACGTTATGAATGGAAGTTGAAACTTTAAATAACTTTTTTCATTAGACAGTCATGTCCTTTTTATTTTTTATATACACTCCTTAATCAAATTACTATCATCAAATATGATAACATCTTATTAAAGGAAATAATTGTAAAATTAGCAATAGAAGTGTTTTAAAAAAAATTATTACCAAATAAATTAAAAAATAATTGAAAAATAATATTATATATTGACGACTTTAATATCCCCGACTTAAAACCGAGAGATAAAAATATAACATGTTATTCTAAAATTTCAACTTAAATTGGTATCATTACTACTCTTGTTTGTTTCCATTAAATACGTCCATTTTTCTTTACTTATCTTTTTAATTTTCCATATCAGTATCATCTTCTTTTTTGTTTTCAGAACATTTGCATGATACTCAAATATAAGAATTTGATTTGTACGAAGTATAGAACAAAAACTATAATGTTTTACAATTTTTCAACGCTTTGTAATTTTTTTTAAAATTCTTCTCTTTGTTTTTGTTTCTGGGAGTCAATAGATCATTAGTTTTGATCATTATAGAAATGAACAAATACCTATCAAAGTACTATATGGATATTAATGATCAAAGTCACAATCTTTTATATATAATAGAGATACACAATCTAATTATACCTAGGAGATACAATCTTAAGTATCTCAACAATTCTTAAAGAGATGCAATGTGATATATATATATATATATATATATATATATATATATATATATATATACATACAATTTTATATACATGGTGATTGAAACTTTAATCCCCAACAAAAGATGAAACCTAGAAAAAGTATTACAATTTTCCAAATAGCTAATTACCTTATATTTTAAAATAAATCCCATTATATTTGACACATAGACAGCCACATAGACTTTACTTACCGCAATTTTTTTTTATAGTTAATAAAAGCATTTTTTGATTCTAAGAGCAACCCCAACCCGGCAATTAGTATTGCTAAATTAAGGCAGTGTTTGGGATCATGCAAGGATTTTTAAGAAATCATGTTAGAAGGAATTGATGAAAAAATATAAAATTTTGTTAGAAGTCCTTTGTTGTAGATATATATATATACACACACACACACATATATAATATAATATGGTTCATGTAGGCTTCAAATTATCATCATGGCTTGCAAGAATCAAGTGCAGTGTTGGATCAAGGAAGGAACACTTGTGGTCTGTTGCAATCACTACTAGATTTCCCACAAGTAAAAGTTGCATGAGCTAAGTTGTTGTCATGGTCCACCTGTCTTATATATATAATATACTCTATTCTGAACTGTTCCCTTAAGTTTGTTTGTGATCATAAAACACTATACCAAATTTAGCAATGCTATGTAATTAATCATACGTAGTTTAATCTGAGTCATGATTGGAAAATAAATCACACACACATAATATGAAGCATATTATTTAAAAATTAAAGCAATAATTTCTTTTTTGTACTCCAAAGATTAACTTACAAGGTTTCATAATTCCAAGTTTAAGAGAATGTTATCTTGGTAGTCAATTGATCAATGTCAAGAAATAAAAAATAAAAAATAAATTGAAGAGAAAACGAAACCTAACACTGTTTTAGCGGTTGTTTGGCAACCGCTTCTTCTTCATACAAAGTATATATTGTAGTGAAATAAAAGCATAACACTTGATGCGATTTGAATAGTACCAAAGTGCTTCTGAAAAAGAGGCCAAAATTGGTGCTTCCGATTGCTTCCACACCGTAACAAAAGTACTGTTCACACCCAAAAAAAATATTAATTAAAAAAAAAACTCTAAAATGACATTTTTAACTAGTCATTTAATTTTTCAAACTTGTTTTCATATTTTTATGTATCCAAAAATCTTGCAACATATATATGTTACTAAACATGTAATCGGACAATATTACACATATTTTAAAGCAAAAATATTACTTTGAAAAAAAGTAAAAGTAGAGAGTAATTGGGATTGCCAAACGGGCCTTATTGTTGCAATGCATAATACCTGGTAGTGGGTTAGTAGCTAGACTGTATAGTTCACCAATAGTGTAACATATTATGATCTACTTTACATTCTTTTCAAATCACTCCATTGCATTCTGACCATCCTTCTGCTCTGAAATTCCACATTCTCTGCCATCAAACCACTAAGCCTTTCAAGCTGTCCCCACATGCTTGACATCACATCCCATGCCCATTCCTCACTTTCTTTGCTCACTCATTCTTCTTACCTAATCAAACTCAATGTAATACCCACACTTCTTATTAATTCAAAGCATCCCACTTATCCCACTCAAGAAAATGAATAACAGAGTATACTCTCAACTCCTTTGTTCCTGGTTCCTTCCTAGTAGTTTATTTGCATAGCAGAGTAGGGACTGTGTGTGTGTGTGTGTGAGAGAGAGAGAGAGAGTCAAATTCAATGGGCATGGAAATTGAGTTCTGAACTTATTTTCTCTAATGCTTTGAACCCAAAAGTTTGCAATTGGAAACTCAGGGCCTCTATAACACAAAAGAGTAGCGACTGTGTGTGTGTGTGTGTGTGTGAGAGAGAGAGAGAGAGAGTCATACACAAAAGGGTTTTGAATCTTGTTGATATAAAGATTAGAAGATGTGTGCAGTGCAGAAGCTAATATATTTTACCATCTCAACAAGTCTTGTAATTCTTATTCTTGTACCATTTGTCAGCTCATCTCAAGAACATACCAAAACAAAGAGCACTCACTCCATCAACAAACACCACACTCTAGAGGTATTTTACTTTCCCTGCAGAATCAAATTGTTCCAATCATTTCCTGTTATTTTACTTTCCCGGCTGAAAATTCAAATGATGATCTAACTGATTGTATGGTTTTGCAATTACAGTTGAGTCCTAAACTGCTGTTCGAAATTACACTACATGGGTTTCTCCTCTGGGCTTCAATGGGTTTCTTGATGCCTGTTGGGATTCTTATTATCAGAATGTCAAACAGAGAAGAATGCGGAAGACGACTCAAAATTATGTTCTACATCCATGCTTGTTTACAGGCAAGTTCATCTTTTTCTACCTTCTGATTTTATATATATATATATATATATATATATATATATATAGTGTGGTTCTGTTAATTTCTGTTTCTTTCAACAATCTAAATCACTAATGAGAGGTTTTTTTAATATATTTCACATGACAAACAATATCTCTACAGAGGCTTTTACTTTTTACTTTTAATCATGGTGAGAAAGAAAATTTAAGTGCATGATTCTAGAGTTTAAATTAATAATCTACTAGCCCACTGTTTCTTGATAAAATATTACCACCAACTTGGCTTTTGATTGCCCCCTCTTGCAGAGATTATCATGGAAACTTGGAGAGAAAGAAAGGGCAATTATTATAATGTTGTTGTTGATGAGAACTAACTACTAACACTTCCAAATTTTGATTGTTTCGGAATTTGTTCGAACGTGCAATATAATAATGACATTAGGTGTGGTATTATAGAGTTTTAAAATGTAGTTAACACTTATATTAGACTTACAAGTACATGTTCAACATATCTTAACCACCACATCTCCTCTGTTTTTTTTTTTTTTTTTTTTTTTTTTTAACAGATACTTTCAGTACTTCTTGTGACAGCCGGAGCTATAATGTCGATAAAGAACTTTGAGAACACTTTCAATAACAATCATCAAAGGATAGGGCTGGCCCTTTATGGTGTCATATGGTTGCAAGCCTTTATTGGGTTTTTACGGCCACAAAGGTAACAATATTGACTTGGTTTGATTTACTAACATTTTAACTCACTACATGGACCGTGTCTAAAATCTGCAATAGATTATTCGATTACATGTGTCGGGTGTACTAAAATAATGCCTTCTTTTTCTTTTTCATTTTTTTTTTTTTTTTATTGACAAAAAACTCACACACACCACTCACATACCCAATTTTGCTCATTTGGAGACTCGAACCCTCACCATCCACGTTAGAAAGTAGAGAAAATACCACTAGAACTATGACACAAGGTACTTGGTAAAATAAATAATGTCTTTCAATATAGGCATTTCACTCATTTTAAAACCATAATAGGACAAAGAGAGAAAAACAATCCTAACCTTTAAATTTTGGGCAAATATTCACCCCTACTGGTTTTGTTTTGTTTTTTGTTTTTTCTGTTAAGTTTGAAAAAATCGATCAAAGAAGGACTTAAAGTCACTATTTTGTTACAAATACAATTTTAAGATATAAAATTTCTAAAATAACATTTTCTCTTTCAATAAATGCCAAAAAAAAAAAGAAAAAAAGAAAAAAGAGGGACACATTTACTTATTTTTTTTACCCTTTTTTTAATTCAGTTATAGAAGGACACTTTAATCTTTTCAGCATTCAAACCCTTATTTGCTCAAAAATTAAATATTAGATATTTTTCATAATATAAAAGGGGTAATACATTCTATATGCAGAACATATGGGTATTTTTCGCTGGTGACCCTATAATGAAATTGAATTATATGATATACTTTTAGGTACATATATATCTGACCAAAAGTGTTGGACACGTGTCATACCCATGTTCATGTAATGTGTGTCCAATGTGTACTTCACATATTTTTTAAGTATAATATCTCTATTTGTTGTAAACAGAGGAAGCAAGGGAAGAAGTGTATGGTTTTTTATGCACTGGACGGTGGGGATCACAGTTTCTCTACTGGGAATCATCAACATATACACAGGATTACAAGCCTACCATAAAAAAACATTAAGAAGTGTAAGGCTTTGGACTATGATTTTTACTGCTGAGATTGCATTCATTGCCTTCTTTTACCTTTTCCAAGACAAATGGGACTACATACAGAAACAAGGTGTGATTTTAGGGAATGAACCAAAACAATCTACTGAACAAGAGAATTCTCCAAGAGACAAACAGAAGGAATTGTTGAGAAAGCAAAATGAATGCTGACTTTCTTCCACTAACTTGGGATTCTTTTAATCTTCTTATCATGATCTTCCTTTAATATAAACTTGGTGCTCTATAGTATGACAAATATGATTGTTTTGCTAGTTATTTTCTCCTCTTTCTAAGTAGCATTGCTCGTCAAAACAGCCACGACTGTTTAAAGCTTGTATATTGAATTTCTAATTGTGTTTGTGTTTGGAAGCACCGAATGTGAGATATAAATTTGTATTTTGGCAAATTTCGTTATCAAATCAAATCCAATGGAGCTGTAAGTTTTTGGTTTGATTTTCAAGACTCAAGGTTGGAAGCGGAATTGAAGACTAATCGTGTCCACGTGTAGATACACTCCATGATGATAAGAACAACGCATTAGTAAAGAGTGAGTGTGTGAGGACGCATGCATGGTTTTCAGGTTTAGGTGTTTAGGAAAAATTTATAAGTACCACTTCATGTTTTCCAAACTGCCTAAGTGGAACTGGTTCCAACATATTAAACCTTTTAAAATTGTTTTAAAACGAAAAATATACTGGCCAAGTGGAACCGGTTTCACCTCTTGGAACCTGTTACACTCTACAGATCAAAAAGGAAATTTTACTCTGTCTGATTTAGCTTTCTCTTTTTGGACAAACTTTTGTCATATTGATTATGTACGAAATTGATTTGTTTTCCAAGTACAACTACGTTTTTAAAAGTCTATAAATATATGTTTTCTCACTTAGGATTTTACAGCTTTTTGCATCAAAATTCTGATTTTATTCGAGACCCATGTTGGGAGAGATAACAATAAACAAATTAGCAGAATAACTCTTCTTCCTATATACAAGCAAATGTAGTGTATCTCTAATTTTATATGTGCTGAAAAATAATAGAAAAGAAAATCAATCATACCAAACCACAAGAACACAAGCAATTTTTTACGTGGAAAATTTCCCCAGTGTGAGGAACAAAAACCACGGGACCTAGTCCAGTTGAAATCTCCACTATCAACCAAATAATGGGTACACAAAGTCTTCTCTAATCGTAATTAGAAGCTACAATACATTTCATCAAGATATCAACAATCTTGGCAAAAACAAAGAGAATTGGAGAGAAAAATACCAAAACCCGGTTGCGGTTCAGAGGCATGAATCATTGTTCCTGAGCTCAAAATCCGATCTGTACCGTTCAGATTTTAACTCATTGAGTCATGAACCTCCTCCAAATTTCAGCTCGATCGGACCACAGACGAAGCGGGATCGGACGTTTGATGAAATCTAGGCAGAATAGAAAAAACCAAAACCCGGTTACTGTTCATGAGTACGAATCACTGTTCCAGAGGTCAAAATCCGATCTTCACCGTTCAGATTTTAACCTGCGTTTTTCTTCTCTTTCTTGTGAAAGCTACGATTGATCTTTCTCCCTTTTTATTCTGACTTCCTTAGGGTTATTTACCCTAAAGAGCTAGGCTTTGGGTTTTAATAAACCCCACTTGGGCTTTCCTCCATATAGAAGGAAATAAACCCAACAAATCTCCCCCTTTCCGACTATGTGGAGGGAATCGCCATTCCGGCGATCGAACAACAAACTTCAAGCTTCTCTTTTGGTAGGGTCTTTGTCAACATATCAGAACCATTATCATCAGTGTGAAACTTCTCAAGTTCAAGTAACTTATTGTTCAACGCATCTCTGATCCAATGGTATCGTACATCAATGTGCTTAGATCTTGCATAAAAACTGAAATTCTTAGCAGGATGAATAACACTCTGGCTATCACAAAACAACACATACCTCTGCTGCTTGAAGCCAAGTTCTCTCAAGAACTTCTTTGCCCATAGCAACTCTTTAGTCGCTTCTGTTGCTGCAATAAACTTTGCCTCTGTGGTAGAAAGAGCAATACACTTTTGAAGTCTCGATTGCCAACCTACAGCCCCACCTGCAAAAGTGATCAAATAACCCTAAGTAGACTTACGAGTATCCACATCCCCTGCCATATCTGCATCTGTGTAGCCAACTAATAATTGTTGTCCATTTCTTAAACCAAGTCTTAAACTGGAAGTGCCTCGAAGATACCTCATGATCCACTTCACTGCATTCCAATGTTCTCTTCCCGGATTTGACAAGAATCGGCTAACTATACCAACTGCGTAGACTATATCTAGTCTTGTGCAAATCATTGCATACATCAAACTTCATACTGCTGAGGCGTAAGGAACTCTTTTCATGTCTTCATTTTCCTTATCTGTAGAAGGACATTGCTTTGTACTCAGTCTGAAGTGGGTAGCAAGAGGAGAGCTAACCACTTTAGTGCTGTCCATATTGAACCTCTGAAGCACTTTTTCAATGTACTCCTCCTGTGACAAATATAACTTCTTGGCACTCCTATCACGACTGATTCTTATGTTAAGAATTTTCTTTGCTGGCCCCAAATCCTTCATAGCAAATGACTTACTCAATTGCTTCTTCAACTGGTCAATCCTTGAAGCATTCCTGCCAACAATCAACATGTCATCCACATAAAGTAGTAGAATAATAAAATCATCATCAGAGAATTTTTTAACAAATACACAATGATCAGAAGTTGTCTTCTTGTAACCTTGCAACCCCATAACAGACTCAAACTTCTTATACCATTGTCTCGGTGCTTGTTTCAAACCATATAGGCTTTTCTTCAGCTTGCACACATAATCCTCTTACCCTTTCACTTTGAAACCCTCTGACTGCTTCATATAAATCTCTTCCTCCAAATCACCATGAAAAAAGGCAGTTTTCACATCCATCTGCTCAACTTCCAAGTCAAGACTAGCTGCTAGGCCGAATGCTATACGGATCGATGACATCTTTACGGCTGGAGAGAAGATCTCATCAAAGTCAATACCTTTTCTCTGACCGAACCCTTTGACAACCAATCTAGCTTTGTACCGTGGCTGTGAAGAAAACCCATTTGGCTTCTTCCTGTAAATCCACTTGTTTTCCAAAGCTCTTTTTCCTTTGGCTAGCTTTACTAACTCAAAGGTGTGGTTATCATGCAATGACTGCATCTCATCTTGCATGGCCTCAACCCACTCTGTCTTGTGTTCATCTTCTATTGCTTCTGCAAAACATTGGGGCTCTCCCCCGTCAGTCAATAACACATACTGCTCTACTGAATACCAAGTGGAAGGACGTCGATCTCTGGGAGACTTCCTGGATGGAATCTCTGGTGGAATCTCTGGCGCTGTCAACTGATCATCAGTCTCAACATCTCCCTGAACCTGTAGGGGAACATCCACATCACCTGTACACTGGTGGTCATCTTAAACATCATTTTCAACCTGAGATGGCAGATTCTTCAGAGGAGCTGGATCTACATCAGTCAAGATATCACCTTGCTGAGACATAGATTTCCCTGTTTTTTCAATATCCTGAATCGTCTGATCTTCTACAAACATGACATCTCTGCTTCTCACAATTTTCTTCTAAATTGGATTATAAAGCTTGTACCCAAACTCATCTTGGCCATAGCCAAGGAATATAAACTGTCGCGTTTTCACATCAAGTTTGGACCTTTCATCTTTTGGAATATGCACAAATGCTTTGCACCCAAAAACACGTAGATGATTATAGGAAACATCCTTACCTATCCAAACTTGGTCTAACACATCAAACTGTAGAGGAACATAGGGTATAAGATTCAATACATGAACAACTATGCTCAATGCCTCCCCCCAAAAGGATTTTGGCAACTAGGCTTGTGAAAGCAAATATCTCACTCTCTCAACCAGTGTCCTGTTTATCCTTTCTGCTACGCCATTCAACTAAGGAGTTTTTGGAGTTGTCTTTTGATGCCGGATACCCTGCTGTCTACAATACTCATCAAAAGGACCAGAATACTCTCCGCCGTTATCAATACGAATGTATCTCAGTTTCTTCCCAGTCTGTCTCTCAACTAGGGCTTGAAATTGCTTGAACACTGCTAACACTTGGTCTTTTAAATTCAAGGTATATACCCACAACTTCCTTGAATGATCATCTATGAAGGTCACAAATTATCTAGAACCACCAAGTGTTCTCGTCTTCACAGGGTCACACACATCTGAATGTACCAAATCCAGTATCTCTAACTTTCTCGAATGAGGGGAATTCTTGAAGGAGACTCTGCTCTGCTTCCCTAACAAACAATGAGTACACCTTTTCAGAAGTATACTTTTCTGTAATGACCCGGACATTTACCTTCCTTTCCTTTTTCCTGAAATTTTACGAATAAATTTTTTTCGTTTAATTTTCTTTTCTAAGCTCTGTTTCTTGTCGCTTAGTGTCATCTTGAGTGCTTGGAAATGGTTTTCGAGACTCTTTTCTGTGGATTGACAACTTCCTTTGAGGACCGAGTCATTTCTGCATTTTCACTTTTCGAACACTATGCGTCTTTCGTCCTTTTCCTTGTTTCGTCTTTTTCCCTATTCTATCTTTTCCCCGTTTGTCACTTGTTTGGCCAAACCACACTTTTCATGTTCGGAGTTAGTTTTTGACTTCACGTGTCTTCATCTTGAGTGGTTTCCTCAAAATACGTATCTTTACTTTTGCAAGAAAGTACTCGGGTTACTCCCGGTGTCCACAGGGGCATAGATGCACAATTTTTCAGAATCTTTTTCATTTCTTGGGGTGTTTTTCATAAATATCTTTTGAAGATATTTTATTTCAGGGGTATCTAAGAAAATATCTTTTGGAAGATATTTTCATTCTGGGACAGTTTCACAGTTAACCCTTTTTGTAGGGGTCATTGTGCAATTAATGAAAGTTATTGCAAAATGTCTCGTCTGGAGCTTGGATTCTCGTATGAGATTCATTTTCACATTTCATCAAGTCATGGACTCTTAGAATTCCGTTCTAGTCGTTTTTCTCTAGTTTCAGAGTTTCTGGACCCGGTTGCCGCCGAACTTGTTTAGGGCATAACTTTCTGCTCGAGACTCAGTTTTTGACGCTGTTTCTTCCATTGTTCATATTTTCTCATTTTGAATCTTTTTCATTCACGGAGTTTTACCATTTGAGTGCGTTTGCTCAAAATCCACTTTTCTGGACTCGGCGGGGCCCGTTCAGGGCACTTTTTGAGATTTCTATAAAAGGGGGATGAGATAGTTCATTTTTCATCTTCCCCACTCTCCATGCATGACCTGAAGCAGCCATGGATGTCCATGGAGCTGACACCTTCTCTCTCCTCCTTTGATTTACTTTTCCTAAGTGAAAAGTCTTCGGCTTTCACGTTTTTTGTTCTCCT